GAGGTTTCAACCTAGAAGAAACAACAACACGAAGGCCGACAATCACAACGCAACGCAAGGCGGACAATCCTGGCAACGCACGAAGGCGAAAATCACAATGGCACGAAGGCCGACAATCCCAACGGCACGAACGCATTAAACTTCCATACTCACAGGAGTGAAGTGTCGAACCGGAGCTGGAGCTGGCAACTGCACTTGGACACCCGATGCTTGCCCGATGGTTTGCATGATCTGATACATGTCCGCCATCTGCTTCTTCGTGGCCTCCAGCTCTGCGGTCAGGTGCGCTTGCATCTCCCTTGTCTCTCGCCACTCGGCTGCGGTGTTTCAATCACATGTTTCAAGATTACAAATCTGATCAATGTGTAACGTTCAATGTCGACGAGTGAAACCAGAATTACACAAGTTTGTCGACCCGCGACAGTGTTGGAGTAGGCCGTGCACGTATGGAAAGGCTTCTGGCCGTGCTCTGTGCCCTCACGTCGGAGAGAGAGGGTGCAGAGCTCGAGGAGTTGGCGCCGTCTCGCAATCCACAACCGCCCGTGCTTCCCCGCCTTGCCCTAGCCTCACGATCACCTCTCTGTCTCAAGGGCTCGGTGCTCGGTGACAGATCTGAGCCACGGAGCGCCCTAACCGCCTCTCGTGTAGTCTCGACCTTAGCGTGGACGCTCGAGGTCGAGTAAGCTCGGCGAGGGCATCCGGGTTGAAGACGACACCGGATTTCACCGGGCCCATGTGGGACACACCACCCCCAAACTCCGACACCGCACGTCCGGGTGTGCCACCTCCTGCGAGAAAAGACGACAAGATGATTAGAAATCGAGCAAAATTGAGCGTTAGAATAGATAAATGACATCTCGTACAAGTGCCCGCTTGAATGCGGAGAGGTTGCGGCTGCCTTGGTGGTGAGTTGGAGCGGTCCTCGATGCCCGCTTCGCTTGCCTTGCTCGTGCTTTCATGCGATGTACGCCGGGTCAAGGTACTGTCCCACGATCCTCGACCATGCCGATCTATGCGACATGCACACGAGGGCCGGCACCTACACATCATCAAGTGTTTGACATATAAGAAGATCAATTCTGGACCTACTAAATCTCAAAACGAATTAATATTATTCACCTACCTGAAGGTACTGCTCCTTGGTCAGCGCCACATTTCTTGCGCCGGTTTTGTTGAGGGGCTCTTTCTTGATGGACCTGTAGTAGTCGACGTGGGCTCGGAGTCGCGCCTCGTGAATCATGTCGCCGACGCATTTCTTACAGTGCTCTGTGTGTGCCGTCCCCGATCCGCCAGGTCTCTCTCTACCTTCTTCGGCCTTAAAGTACCTCTGCATACAAACACGATGTATCCGTTCATTATTTCAATAAAAGACTTAAGCAATAGAGGAGATGTATTGAGCTATGTTGTGAGACACTTGCCCAAAAGTCCGCCAAAACCCGCTCCTGCTTGTTGTCCTGCTCGTCATCCGAGCCGAGCTTGTATCTGTCCCACGCCCAGGCCGGCTCCCACCTCCCCTCTTTCAAGTCCACAAGGCCGGGGAAGTGTTTCCTGCACAGACATCCCAGGACGGTAGCGGGGGTGGATATACCTTGCCCACGCTCGTAGGCGGTTCGGTGACGGTAGGGGCGTCGGCGGGACGGGCACACAGAGAAGACGGCCGAGGCATCTCCTCCTCCCCTCTACCTCGGCTTCCTCCTCCTTCCTCTCCTCCTCCTTCTTCCTTTTTCTTCTCTTTTTTCCTTCTCCTTTTCTTCCTTTTCCTTTTCTTTCTTTCTCTTCTTTTTTCTTCCTTCTTCTTCCTTCTTCTTCTTCTTCTTCCTTCTCCTTCCTTCTTCCAAGCCAGGCGGCAGGCGACGGGCAGACGGGCAGCGTCTGGGGGGGGACAGCCACAGCGTGCGGCAGTGGCAAAGACTGTGACGGACGGCAAGGGCACAGCAATGACGGTGTGTGGCCCAGGGGGGGGGGTACTGGGGGGGGGGTAGCGGTGGCTGGGGCTCACGGGGTAGGCAGGCAAGGGGCATGGCTGGGGTGGGGCTGGGCGGGGCATTGGGCAGGAGTGGCTCTCCTCATGGCCAGCTGGGAGCCAGAACAATGCGCCGGCGAGGTGAGGGGGTCCTCGGGCGGGGGGGGCGTGATGTGGCGGGTCTCTCGGCGGGCGCGGGGCCGGGAGCCACAATGGTGAGAAGTGGGGGCTCGGGGCGCAGGTGTGCCGCATCATCCGATCACAATTTGCTCGAAACCTTTACAATTTTTACCACAGCCTCCACATGTGATAACACGACGCATCGACAAGTTTCATGATTTTCGGACTTCGTTTGCATTTTATATAATTTAAAATCACATTTCCTAAGCAAGTACCTCGACATGTTACGTCAACGAGATACTCGAGATTTCATGTGACTTTCTCGGATACGGCCTAAACATACCCTAAATATCATGAGTATCAATTTTGGATGACCAAAGTCCATTATTCCATGTACTGCAGTTCAAATTTGAAATATCCCAAACAATTAGACGAAACGAAATAAACTAATGAAATATATCAAAAAAGTCAAAATTGCCCCAAATTTTAAAATAGAGTTTTAAACAACATCACACAGGCCCCACGAAAAAATTTGGGCCCAAAATAAAAAAAACATTTTGCCGAAAGTGCCATGGGGACACTTTCGGCAAAGTGGGTTTTACCGAAAGTGCTTAAGCCGTAGGCACTTTCGGCAAAGATGATTTTCAAAAATAAAAAAAAAATTGCCGAGTGCCCCGGCGGCACTTTCGGCAAAAATAAGTTTTAAAAAATTAATTTTTTTTTTGCCGAGTGCCTAAGGTTTACACTCGGCAAAATAAGTTTTTAAAATTAATAAAAAAAATTTTGCCGAGTGCCATCCGTTAGGCACTCGGCAAAGTCTGACGGCAGATGCCCGCCGTCACGGGCCGGCCACCTTTTGCCGAGTGGGACTTTTGCCGAGTGCCGCGGCACTCGGCAAAGCCTAGATTTGCCGAGAGCCAGGCTTTGCCGAGTGCATTGCGCTCGGCAAAGCCACGTTTGCCGAGTGCTTTATTTTGCCGAGTGCGGCACTCGGCAAAATATTTCTTTGCCGAGTACCCCGATAAAAAGCACTCGGCAAAGTCTCAGGCACTCAGCAAAGTACAGTTTTCCAGTAGTGTATCTCTACAATTCCCGACGAAGTCTGCTATGTAAACAATTGAGAGCGGTCTCTCGTTATGATCATCGGCGAACAAACCAATCCTTGACTCCTCAACAACTAACTTCTTATCGACTTTAATTAGATATTAGAATTACATATTTTATGAGTTCTGAAAGAAGCCACGGAGCTCTCAATATTTAATTATAGCCATACTAGATAGTATTAAAATTAAAGTTGTTCTATATTATTTAAGTTTAAATACTTTTACTTTTGTGGTTTGCGACCGGACAAAAAAGTTGTAAAGGTGGTATTTTAAATTGACACAGGCTTAATAGAACATTATTATATTATTGCCAACATTAACTTATATTATAGATGTCGGTCATTATAAAATAAATTATAGACTTGAAATTTATAAAAAAAAATGATAAATCATAAATAGATATGTATTATTTTTGTCATTGTTTTTCATTGATATCTGGTAGGTTTTTCTCCCATTGCAACGTACGGGCAAATTTCTAGTGTTTCCTAAAATATAGATAACCAAGTGCCAAAACCGTACAAACAACTCGCTCCTCATACCTTATTATTATAAGGTGGTGATGATAACCACTAGGGAAAACCCTCGTGTTTCCTAAAATAGATATTCTTATTTAGCTGCACTTCTTAGGGATATATTCTTCTTAACAAGGTATCACCTTTTTGCGTGTGAGAATTTTGATAGATGCTACCAATTAACTGTTTGTTCAATTTAAAGGTTAGACAAGTACAACGTTGGTTAACTCTCCAACGTCAAATATTAACACGTTGTACTTCTTTGTCCATTCTTGAGAAAAAAACACCATGCCACACAAATAGCACTTCTCGCGGACACTGGGTGTAACTGGCATTGGTAACTTAGGAGTATAAGTTAGAATATTAGATGTCGTATAAATTAGATGTTTTGAAGCAAGGGTAGAAATTAGAAAGGCACATGAGTTGAGGCCTATAAAAGACTTAGGCCTTGTTTAGATGTTGAAGTATTAAGAAACCATAGTATCAAAAAACTGTAGTTTTAGAATTATTGACGTGCAAAACCGTTGTTTAGAAAAAAGAGGTACATAGTGGAGTATTTAAAACTCTAAAAAGACTACAGTTTTAGCAATACTATAATATTCAAAACCATAAACCTTATTGCACCCAAACACTTCATGGCACTTTAAAACCAAAGTATTTTATAATACCATGATATTTTTCTAAAACTCCAAAAATACATTGTATCAAACATGCCCTTATCCTAGAAGAAAATACATCATCTAAAAAATGGAATAATAATCTCCTAAAAAAGAAATGGGAAAATCTTGAAGGAAGACTTGACAAACCAATGCAGTTTGGCTCGGTCAAATTTGCCCCTGCATTGAAGGAACATACTCCTACAAAAGCTAGCGCCAACAACCAACATTTTGCTCTGCACAAACAAATCCAGTTTTAAATTTAAACACAGACCCTTTTTCCTTGACAAGACAAAATTTCGCTGACCAATTCGTTTCGGCTCGACTTGCATTGCACGTAGTATTCTCAGCATAAATTCCCAGTTCTTGGGCAAGCAATCAAACAATAGGCCAGCGCCCAGCAGTCATGTTACAGGACCAATCAACATCTGAGAGGTAAAGACCGAGACAGTATTTCCAGTCACTGGTAAGTAGGTAATGATTGCATCACAGAAACGACTAACTGAACTGCCTTGCAAGTTCCAGCTTGACCAGATCACCAGACTTCAGAATCAGGGTCCTAGACAAGCCATCGTATTAATGACTGCATACCAGCACAAGGCTTTGCATACTTTACTCAAACTTGCATACCTTGCGGCAAAAGGTAATGGACAGAACACCCCAATCCATCCTCTTCCTGCTACTCATCTCCAGTCCCAGTGCAGCTCAGAACACCACCGGAAGCAGCCCAAACGAATTCCATGTTGGCGTGATCCTTGACTTGGGTTCACTGGCGTGTCAGTGGCCTTGGAAGATTTCTATGCAACCCACCGGAATTGCAGCAGGAAGGTGGTTCTCCATTTCAAGGATTCGGCGGGCAATGATGTCCAAGCTGCTTCAGCAGGTACGTGTTCTGTAGCATTGTCATCAAGACCCAACAACTTCACTTGAAACTGTTTATCTGTACAGTTAAAGGACGTGTATATTATTTGACACCTTTATGCAAAAGCATAGTTTCATAAGTGTCTTGTCAGTTACTGTGTGGGGGTACATGATATTAGAACAAGCACAGGATCTTTGAGAATCATAGAAGTAGATAAAGATCTTTTGTTCCTATTGAAAATAAAATCATACATAGAGTGATATAGTTGTGGATTTATTGAATAAAAGGCAAATATATCCTATGCAGTCATCGGGACAAATCTGTGTCTTTCAGAGACAGAATTTGTATAGAAACTTCTTTAGATAGGTGGCAAAAATGTTAATAAAACACGAGGGTGAAGAACAGAAGGGTTTTAACACACACCCAACTGAACAAGTGTGAGAACCAGGGTTGGAACTTGATCAGCTAGCTCCTCTCTGCAGAGACTAGCCAGCTGCGCTTTGGCAGCACCGTTCACTCAGACAAAACTGCATATCATTTGGACAGATGACAGAATCGTGAGGTTGGGTACAAATTGCAGATCTAGATTAGAGCCCTTAAACAAACATAAATGGGGGAAAATAATTTCTCTTTACCTTTTCCCAAGGCAAATGTTAATAGAAAACGCACTGCCATTTTTGCTGGACTCTATATTCCTTGTCTTTGGGGGAACTGTTACCAAAAAAGTGAATATTTGCTAGAAGAAAATGACAAAATATTCACTTTTCAAGAATGTCCTCCTCTAATGGTAAACATTTTTAGCGTTCCACCAACAGAACCCACATAGTCAGAGTGTCCTCTAGCAAAATTTGTCTTTACAGAATCTTGAAAGCACTGAAAAATAAATATGCTTAGTACTACAAATTTGTTCTGCTGATATTACTTGACAGAAATTTCCTTTCTTGTGCAATTCCAAAGCTATTGAATTACTGGAGACATACAAAGTGCAAGCCATCATTGGTCCCCAGAAATCATCAGAAGCTGTCTTTATATCCAACCTTGGGAATACAACACAAGTACCTATTGTATCCTTCACTGCAACAAGTCCCTCACTCACTTCAGATATTATGCCGTATTTTGTGCGTGCAACATTGAATGACTCAGACGCTCAGTTCAAGTGAATAGTATTGCCTCTCTTATAAAAGCCTATGGATGGAGAGAGGTGGTTCCAGTATATGATGATACCGACTATGGGAGGGCATTCTACCACACCTCATCAACGCCCTTCAACAAATAGATGCTCATATTCCATATCGTAGTGTTATCTCCTTGTCAGCAACAAGCGAAAACATTATGCAAGAGCTCTACAAGCTAAAGACAATGCAAACAAGGGCATTCATTGTTCATATGTCATTGACCAGGGCCTCCTTCTCTTCACAAAGGCCAAGGAGGCAGGGATGATGACCAAAGGATTTGTGTGGATCATTACAAATGGATTAGCAAACATCATTGACTCACTCAATCCATCTGTCATCGAGGCAATGAATGGGGTAATAGGAGTAAGATTTCATGTCCCCAGATCAAAAGAACTTGAAAGTTTTTCCATAACATGGAGCAGAAAGTACCAACAAGACAACCCAAACGAATCACCATTTAATAAACTAAGCATTTTCGGGATATGGGGATATGATGTGTTTGGGCATTATAGCACAAGCGGCAGAAAAGGTTGGGGTATTAATTAACAAAAATAAGAGACTGCAGTTCAGTAAAAATTCTACATGCTTGGAGTCATTGGCTGTTTCCACAATTGGACCAGAGCTCCTAACAGCAGTTGTACAGAACAAATTCAGAGGCTTAAGTGGAATTCGACCTTACAGACAGCTGCAAGTGTCTGCATTGCAAATAATAAATGTGGTTGGGAGGAGTTGGAGACATATTGGATTTTGGACTTTGAAAAATGGTTTTCCATACCAGTTAAATCAAAATGGTTTGAAATTAACAATGCCAGACTCAATGCAACAACTAAATCCAGTGATTTGGCCAGGAGAATCAACAGAAGTACCAAGGGGTTGGGAACTTCCTGCAAGTGCTAACAAGCTTAGGGTTGGTGTGCACACAAGTGCATATCCAGAGTTTATAAAAACATCAAAGGATCCTGTCACGAATGCAACAAGAGCGAGTGGACTCTCAATAGACATATTTGAGGAGGCAGTAAAGAGACTGCCTTTTGCACTTGCTTACGAGTACCAAGCATTTGATACCGTTGATACACAAAGTACAGGGAGCTATAATGATTTTGTTTACCAAGTTTATCTTCAGGTAAGGAATAATTTCTAAAAGATACTACTCAATTTCTCAATATTCCAAGTGAATAAACTAAAATGTGCATATATTTACTGTAAACAGTATTGTAGTGAGTTAATATTTTACAACATTTATATTTTACAGCATTTATAGTTTCAACCAGTGTAAAAAACTAATCCTCCGCGGCCCCCACTCCCCCCATGGTCTCTCTGCTGGCCCCTCCCTCATGGCCGTCCTCCCCATCCCCATTGGTTTGCTCGCGGTGGCTCATGGCCACAGATCGAGCACGTCTCCCACCACTGCTCACCCCGTGCGCCGCATCCCCGCCGCCCGGTCCCAGCGGCCCCGCTGCCATTACTGCCTACACACCTGCGCGCTCACGGCGCGTCCACTGTCCCTATCCCGAGGCCAGACCAGAGTCCTCATGGAACCGTTACGCTCCCCCGCTCCTCCGCCCCCGCCCCCCCCCCCGTACGCGCCCCACCAGCCCAGATCCGCCGCCGCCGCCAAGGCATCCCCGATCCCAGCGTGTCTCTGCGCTCCCCTCCTCATGCCGTCCTCCCATCCCGCTTCGCGTTGCTCGCGGTGGCTCATAGCCACAATCGAGCACGCCTCCCACCATCGCTCACCCGTGCGCCGCATCCCCCGCCGCCGGTCCCGAAACACGCCGCCCAGCTGCGCCACTACACCCGCTGCGGCTCGCGGCGCATCCGCTGCTGTTGCTGCCGGGTCGGAAAAGACAGGAGGCACGTCGTCCAGGCGCGTCAAGTTCGCCTCTCCCCTCTGCTACTGCCGGTGGTGGCGCATTACTCCGCCAGCGCTACGCCTACCAAATCTTGCCTCAGATCCGCTATGGAAAGGCACGCGCTCATTCACGGGCGTTCATCTCCACCGCTCCGCCTCCGCCCGGCTTTGAAGGGGATTTCCTTCCCGAGGGGAGACTCAGAGCTGCCACCGGGCGTGGCGGAGGGTGGTGAGGCGATTCACGCGAAGATGAGGATGGCTGGTCAATGGTGCGCCCGAGATACTGGTGGCGTCTCCCCGAGTTCAAGACCACGGCGCATTCAACACCCTCAACCACCCAGGTCAAATCGGCGCGCCATCACCTCAGCGAGGAACTGCAGCGGCGCTTGAGAGGTAAATGCTTCCACCTCTCCCACAGCCACGCCATGGCGAACTGCAGAGACCCAGATCGCTTCTCTTGTGGTCATTGGGGACATAAAAGCAATGTGTGCTTTGGCGAGATCTTCATCATCCAGCAAAGAAACCCCCCCCCAAGGCTGCTCCTCCTCCCTTAACGACACAAACTTCCCACCTCTGCAAGTGAGCGACATGGCTGTGCCCGGGACCCCTCCGTCCGCCCCACGACACACGTGCGTGGCCTTCTCCGTCGACAATATGGACCAGGAGCTCGACCGCCTCTCCATGCATGGCATGGTGGCCTGGCTGGGGGGGAACCGGCCGGTGGTGGAACCGGAGCTCATCAAGAGGGCCATTTGCCACCAGTTTCCGGTTCGTCCGGAAGATGTCACCGTCATCAGGCACGCGCCCGAAGACTTCTTCGTCGACTTCAAGCACCGCCACCACATGCGACGAAGCGATGGCGCGGGGACCTTCCCTATCGCAACCTCGACATCCACACAAGGCCATGGCGGTGGTGACACACGGCGACATCTGCGACCTCAAGTACCGCGTCCGCCTATGCCTCGAGGGCATCCCCCTCCACGCCTGGAACGAGAGCATCGCCAAGAGGGCAGTCGCCAGAGCTTGCGACCTCGACTACGTCGAGAAGTCCTCGCTGGACCGTGCCGACACCAGGGCACTCTGCGTCTGGGCATGGACGCACAACCCGTCCGACATCCCAAAGGTAACCTGGCTGACTTTTGTCATGCGGAAGGCGAGGCCCACACCGCAAGTTGCTCGTGGCACGGGGACTCACCTTCGTGGTGCCGGTGCACCTTGACCGGTGGAGGATCCTCCGACAGAGACGGTCTTCTTTGCCGCTCCCCGGGTCTACACGTGGGACTACGGGATCGTGGATGGAGAAAGGAAGCAGCGCGACCGCCACGACCCTCCACCGGCTGACACCCATGGCAGCCACCGCGACGACGACAGCGACCGTCGTGGGCGCCGTGAATGCCAGGGGGACAAATGGTACTCGCGGCTCACCCGCAGCCTTTCGTGGGCGCCCAAGGACCGCGAAAAGGCGCTTCGGTGTCCGAACACGGTGGTCGTCGACACCACAGCCCGGAACGTGGGGGTCGCCGACGCCCACTGCACGACGACGCGGATGGCCGCGGTGCTCGCCAGTCTACCACAGGCGACGTCGCAGCTGGGCATGGTGCCCGCCAATCTACCCAAGGCGACGCTGCAGACGCCGGCACGGGGGCTCGACAGCACCTCGCCAGCCGCCTGGTTGATGTCCACCGCAGAACCAGGGGTCGGAGCAGGGAAAGGGCGCCCCACCGGAGGCCGCACAGGCACGCGCGCTCGGAGCCGAGGACCACGACGCCGCGCTCAAAATCACCGTCGCCGCGCTTGCGCTGCAAGTCACCTGACTTCAACGGAGGCAACGACAACAACCACCACCCGTCACCAAGTCCTCCCAAGGTGCGTGCAAAACACAGTCAATGCGATGATTTGCCCTTCATCCCTTCGGTCTCTACCCCTCCAACCTGTGAGCCGAACGACCCTCCTGTTGCCGCTGCACAGAGCACGGACGCACCACCGAACAGCTCCTCTTCGGTGCACCTGACGAGAAATGTATCTCCTTCTTGTCTGAATGAACTGCAGGTTCCCCCCATCGACGACCATGACATCGCGACACAGCAGTGATCGTGCCTCGCGGCTGATCGACGCTTCCGCGACGGGCGGGCAGTCTACGCCAGCGGCCAGTGCTCTTCAGACGCATCGCGCCCCGCCGACGGCGGCCGAAACGCCTGCAGGTGCGTTTCCACCTCAGCGTCGTCTACCTGGTGCACCGTGTCCGGCGGGATGGCTGGAATAGCAATTACTCCAGCCGCACATGCATGGCAAATGACCTCCAACACCAGCTGCCGGAACAGACCGCCAACGCCAAGGAGGTAAACAATGATGGCCAAACAACGCCTGCCAATGCTGCACCAGTATCTGAATTCCTGCAGGGGATTTCACACACCTCGCCCCACCCATCTTGCAGTCCCGGCGGCCAAAGACAAAGACACCACAAAGAACGCAAGAGGCCCCTGCTCCCGTGCGAAGGCGCGTCCGCATAGCTGCGATGAATTGGCCAAGGGGCGACACCCAGGCGAAGGCCAAGCTAGTGCGGATGAAAAGACTGGGCATCCTCGACATGGAAGGACTCACCCATGACGACGCGTTGCTGCGCTACTTCAGCCTGTTCAAGGGACCACTTAACGACGACGCCATGAAGGCAATGACGGCTTTGTGTGGCCTCGACAATGAGGCGGCGCTGCCGCTTCGCACGCCTAGATGCTCGCAGACGCAAAATGGGTAGACCGATGTAATAATGTTAGTGATCGTTTGCAGCACGGAAGCTCTTGGAGCTCCACATCATTTGTGACCGTCTCAATCATGGTGCTTGGGTTCGGCGACGACCAGAGGCCTCTGATCGCCCCCACCCACCTCACCGCAACGAACCGTCATCCGGTAGTTAGTCAGAGCAAAAACTCAACGAGCAAGAAGCGAGTGCTTTGTATCATTGTGCCGACAGCCCAACGGCTTTTCGGTTATATCGCCCACTCCAAGTTGATGCTTTCATGACCTCTGTATGCTTATCTCGGTGCATATGCCTCTGTGTGCTTACCTCTGTGCTTGTCGCCGCTCTCGAACCAACAGACGACTTCCTACTTGTCTCCTTCCAAGAATTATTTTAAATAGGGGCCCATTGGTTGACATATGGCATAGATGAATTGTCGATTACTTAACCGGAACGTCGTGGGTCTCGAATGATGGTGCCCGACAGACTTTCGGTTAGTGAGCTAGTGAGAACCACCGGCGCCACCATCGTATGTCTACAAGAAACAAAGATGCAAGTTATGGACCGTAATGTGGTGCGCCCCGAGCATTGGAGCGAAATTTGAAAACTCCTATATTGTGCTCCCGGCGGAACAGACACGAGGAGGCATCTTCCTTGCGGTCAACGAAGACTTCTTCAACCTCTCCGACATTGTACTTACCGCGAACACTATAACCGCGCAGATCAACATGAGCGCAGATGGAACAAGGTGGCAAATTACGGTGGAATATGGTCCGCAAGGGGAGGAGGCCAAACTTCAAAATCCTCCAAGAACTGTAAAACATTCCACCGCCGGAGAATGATAGATGGCTCATCCTGGGAGATTTCAACCTCATCTACCAGGCGGAAGATAAGAACAACGCCAATCTCAACCGCCGTCTCATGGGGGCATTTAGAGCGACGATCGATCATTTGAGGCTCAAAGAAATCAAGCTAAATGGACGTCGCTTTACCTGGAGCAATCAACAGCAAAACCCGACGCTCACTAGAATTAACAGACTACTATGTACCCCCGAGTGGGAGCTGTCCTTCCCATCGTGTTTCTTACACTCCCTTCCATCGCTCATGTCGGACCATACCCGGTTGCTACTCCAGGGAGAACTTGACCACAATCACAGCACTTCCTAACGCTTTGAAAATTACTAGACTAAGATGGATGGCTTCCAAGATCTTGTCCAGAACATTTGGAATAGACCGGTCGCCACCGCTCTTCCGATCAAACGCTTGCATATCAAAATGGCGCGTGTGGCAAAAGGTATCAAGCGTTGGAAGAAAGAGAAGATAGGGGATACGAGGATGCAGCTCGCCATAGTGAAAGAAGTGCTACTACAATTAGAAGCAGCCCAAGAGCATAGGTTGCTCACTGCCATGGAACTTCACCTATGTCGCCGCCTCAAAGCCCGTAGCACTGGACTCGCGGCCATCGAAAAATCAAGAATCAGACAGAGATCGAGACTAACATACATTCGCTGTGGTGATGCCAACACTAAGTTTTTCCACAGTCGAGCCAACGCACGCCGGAGAAAGAATTACATACATTGTCTACATACGGATGGGGGGATCGCGGTGGCTCATCAAGAGAAAGAAAAGGTGATTCGAGATTATTTCAAAAATCACATTGGCTCCGCGATGCCGAGAGCTTCCACACTAAATTGGCAATCCCTTGGCTACAACCAACACGATCTCACCGACCTAGAGTTGCCTTTCTCCCAGGAAGAGATAAAAAACACTATATATTCCATGCCTTCCGACAAAGCACCAAGACCGGATGGCTTCACGGGGGCCTTCTTCAAAGCGTGTTGGGAAATCATTAAGGATGATGTAATGGCGGCCATGAACAGCCTATTCACCTTGAATGCCCAGGGCTTCGAATGGCTAAATTCGGCTTGCATCATCCTTCTACCCAAAAAAACAGATGCAACAAGAGTTACTGATTTCAGACCCATCAGCCTCGTCCACAGCATTGCAAAGATCTTCTCTAAGGTGTTAGCTAACAGACTTGCCCCTCGACTGAACTACCTCGTCTCCAACTGCCAGAGCGCATTCATAAAAAAGAGAAGTATCCATGATAATTTCCTTTACGTCCAGGGCGCGGTACAAAGGTTGCACATGCAAAAGATACCGGCTTTATTCATGAAACTAGATATCCACAAGGCTTTTGATACGGTTCATTGGGGGTACCTGCTCGAGATTCTGCAAGCCCTGGGCTTCGGACAACGATGGCGTGAATGGATCTCTATCCTCCTACGTACATCCACTTCCACACCCTTGCTTAATAGGCGACAGGGTGCCGCTTTTAGCCATGCCAGAGGCGTCCGCCAAGGAGATCCACTCTCACCCATGCTATTCATCCTTGCTATGGACCCGCTTCAACGTTTGCTTGACCGGGCAACCGACCATGGGATACTCACCCCCTTACCAATCACGGCGGCAAAATGGAGAACCTCCATGTATGCGGATGATGCTGCCATTTTCATCAGCCCCACAAAAGACGATGTCGAAGTTGTCAAATCCATCCTACACGCTTTTGGCTCATTCTCGGGACTCCATATCAACCTACAAAAGAGCTCGGTGCACCCAATCAGCTGCGCAGACGTTGATCTAGACCAAGTCCTCTCACCCTTCACCGGTTCTAGAGGGACCTTCCCATGCAAGTACTTGGGCCTGCAACTCCACATCAGAGCACTGCAAAAGATACACGTGCAACCTCTCATAGACCATATCGGGCAGAGGTTACCCAAGTGGAAAGGAAGATGGCTTAACAGAGTGGGACGCCTCACTCTAGTAACATCAGTCCTCTCCTCCATGCCAACCTACCACCTGACGGTGTTTCCTCTAGCTGCATGGGCTAAGAAAAAGATTGACAAAATCAGGAGATCGTTCCTGTGGAAGGGGGAGGAGAACGCCAATGGCGGACACTGCCTTGTTAACTGGCCAACAGTTACCAGGCCAAAAGATCTGGGTGGTTTAGGCGTCCCCGATCTTGAAAGATTTGGGAGAGCCCTCCGGTTACGATGGCTTTGGCAGGAATGGGTGGACGATTCCAAGCCTTGGAACGGCTCCGAGCTTCCATGTTCTGATGATGATCGTCTCCTCTTCAATTCCTCAATCATTATAACTTTGGGGGACGGTGCAAAGACTAGGTTTTGGCACCACAATTGGCTCGATGGACAGGCGCCTAGGTACTTAGCACCAAACTTGTTTTGCCTAGTTTCAAGGAGAAACCGAACAGTGAAACAAGAGCTCCGGAACAACAATTGGATACGCAAGCTACAAAGGAAAATCACCTCGGCTGTCCACATAGAGGAGTTTGTGTCCCTTTGGATACGGATACAAGATGTGCACCTACAGCAGGGCGTCCAGGACACCATCAACTGGCGGTGGACCAGTGATGGGAACTACTCCACCCACTCGGCCTACAGAATACAGTTCAGAGGCTCGCTCGTCCCCTTCAGTACAGAGTTGATCTGGAAAGCGCAAGTGGAGAACAGATGCAAGATCTTTGCCTGGATCTTAGTGCAAGATAAAATTCTAACGGCACAAAACCTACAGAGGAGAGGGTGGCCACACCATCAACAATGCGTGCTCTGCAATGGTCCTTTAGAAACCGGCCTCCACCTATGCCTATGTTGCCCCTTCGCAAAGGCGGTTTGGGATCAAATCCTCTCGTGGGAGAACTTCACTCAGATCCAGCAGCAACCCCAGGTGCAACCCACCGATATCAAATCATGGTGGGAAGAGGTGGAGACGAAAGTGCCAAGATCCGAGCGTAGGCGGCTTAACGGGGTAGTAATCTACACCTTTTGGAACATTTGAAAAGAGAGAAATAGGAGAATCTTCGACAACAAGATACAGACGGTGCCGCAGGTGGCCGCAAAGATAAAGGAAAACATAGAGCAAAGGAAGAGAGCACTCGCTTATGTGTAGCCGATGCCCCCTCACCTTTTGGGCCGTGCGTTTCCCTAATTTGCATGCTTGTGGGGGGTTTGTATTCCTAACCTCGAGTGCCTTTGTTTATACATAAACTCTCTTTTCCCCATCTTAATTGAAAGGCAGAGCTCCTGCCATTGCGTTCAAAAAAACCTTGCTGCTGGTTTATTGAAAGGACATAAATCCGAAAGGCTTGTTTCTTTCTTTCCCAAAGAAAATATATACTGGACCTAACTGTTTTCCTTTTATCAAAAACAAATTAGAATGCACTATTGAATCAGATGTAGTGCATATCACATAATAAGTAGAATCTACTTTTCATTTCACAATTAAGTACAACCAATTGATGTCAATGCAGAGATATGACATAGCAATTGGAGACATAACAATCAGATACAACAGAACGATGTATGTCGACTTCACTATACCATACACAGAATCAGGAGTGGCGATGATTGTCCCAGTCAAGGAAAAAGTCAACAATAACATGTGGATTTTCTTGAAACCACTAAGCAAAGGAATGTGGTTTGGAAGCATAATGTTCTTTATATATACTGGAATTGTTGTCTGGCTGTTAGAGAGACTAAGTGGCAATGGATATCTAAATGGTCCCTTTTCACTCAAACAACTTGGGATTCTGATGTTTTTCTCCATATTCGAAGAGAGTTGAGTAAAATACTTAAACAGTATACTTTCTCACTGATTTTGTTCATCTACAAATTTCAAACAACTATGCCAGCCATCGAAAAATTGCTTAATATATAACTTTTTTAAGAAAAACTCAATATATTGTTTTACAAATTGAATTGGTGTATTGAAAAAAATAACATTTTTGTAGTTAATTCTGCAGAGGAGAAGCTGGAATGTTTTTTGTCTAGAATAGTTCTACTTGTATGGATGTTTGTTCTTCTGGTGCTAGCATCAAGTTATACTGCAAGCTTCGCATCAATGCTTCTTGTACAGCAGCTTGCACCAACGGTGACTGACATTCATGAACTCCAGAAGCAAGGTGCTTATGTAGGGTTCCACCGAGGTTCCTACATAGAGGGCCTATTGGAAGATATCGGTTTTGACAGATCAAAAATAAGACCCTATGATACTCCTGATGACTTCCACATTGCTCTTTCTAACGAAGGCAGACATGATGGTGTTGCTGCCCTCGTTCTGGAAGTCCCATATATCAAATTGTTTCTCGCCAAATACTGCAAAGGTTACACAATGGTTGGACCTATTTACAAAAGTGCTGGCTTTGCATTTGTAAGTTCAATTACTCTTTGATAGCCAATTATTTCAATCTTTCCTAACTATATTAAAAATTGCTAGTTTGCTACTAAATTATGATGGAAAATCTAACATCCGAATACTGCAAAGGTTACACAATGGAATGTGCTGCATTAAATTCCACGTTCCATTGTATCACTAAAGCTGAAAAGGTTAGATCAAAATAAAGGTGAGATTCAGAAATTCTATTTTTCATGGCTAGTACTGAGTCAGATATACTGAAGAATTCTTTAAATATTAGTATACTCAAGTTAATAAGGACTTCCTTTTTGGCGATTAGGCACTTCCTAAGCGATCTCCGCTACTTACTGAAATATCAAGGGCAATCCTCAACATAACAGAAGGAGATAGTATCATTCAGATCGAGAAGAAATGGATTGATCAAAACAGTTGTCAAAATGAGGAAAAAGTTGTTGATTCAGGTGCTATCACTTTTGGCAACTTTGGGGGATTATTCCTCCTAACTGGACTTGTGACAACCTGTTCCCTTTCTATAGCCTTGCTGTGGAACCAGTACAAAAAAGGTCAACAGATTAACATAGATTATCAGAATCAACAAGGACATGGGCAACAAGAAGAAAATGGGCACATTCAAGACGGAGATCAAAACAATGAAGAAAATGGAGGCTGCAATGATATAGATAACCAAGCCACAACAATATCCATGACTCATAGTCCGAACACAAATAGTGATCAGCTAGGGGACTGCCTGCAGAATAACAAGGCAATAACATTGACTCATTTTGGTTCTCAAGTCACCCACAGGGGAGGCATAAGAAATATAGGTGATCAAGTGGCTCAAGTTTAGTTTCATAAATTACGGAGCCAGGCCGGGTTGATGCTTGAAGCTCAAAGATCTGCAGTAGCCCTATTGATCGTGGGTCAAATAGCTAATTCGTGCAGAAAAAGAATAATTTTTCAATTAATTTTGTGTCAGACATATAGGTTAGGAAAAAGGCACCCAATCTGTAGAACGGTTACTAAGTTTTCACATGACAAATTGATTATTATAAGGGGCCGTTTGGATCCCTTCATTTTGGAGGAATTGAAATCTACATAATAAATTAGGCAATTTGGCTTGGAATTTAACATTCCATAACATTCCCAAGCTCACAAATAAGCCTATCTCAAATTCATAGCGTGGGAGATGGAAATGGATTCTACAAATCACTATGCTATAATTCTATTCTCCAACTTATAACACACTCTTCAACTAACTTCCCTACAATAGAAATGCAATATATAAGTATGTCCCTTATATGCCTAACAATAAATATACAAATATATTGCATATATAACTATATTAGCTTAATTAATCTATGCCTAAATTGTAATTATTAAAATGAATTCAATTCTAAGGATCCAAACGGGCCCTAAAAGAAATCACATCAGACAAGAATTATTGATTTATTGTAACTAGTGCACATGGAACTTCCAGTAATCATATTTTTCTTGTCATTCGCTTTTGTCGTTGGCACTGGAACAAACTATCATACCTGCATAGTCGACATGCAAGTATGCCACCGCGTGGTGCGATGCAACTATGCAACCGGCAGCGAGCGGTTCATCACGTTGCTGGAATCCTGAAATCAACTGGTACACCTAGAGAACAGAAATGAGAGTAGAAAAGTCACATTGAGAAAATCAAATACAGTAGAAGCAACAGGCACTCAGGCAGTCTGTAGAAATTAACAGCACACACCATCAGGAACATTCAGGAGCTGCGGCGATGGTGGAGGATCGAGCAGGGGGAAACCTTGGAGTGGTAAAGCGTCGTAAGGCAAAGAACTGAATGAGCGAGATACCCATCCCAGTGCCTTGGTGGTCGCCGCCCAGCCACGCGCGGAACGGGCTGTCGCGTCCGGAGCTCGGTTGGCTGAGAGCCTCAGCGCTGCGCGCCATCCTCTGGAGGGGGACTGGGGGAGAGAGAGGCAGCGGCGGCGGCGGTGATCGCCCCGGCGAGCGCAACTGCGGAAGAGAAGAGATACGGGTGCGCCGCGCCCGCGCTGAACTCCGACGGCCCACTAAACACGAGCAGCCGTGCGAAGGCCCAGTGGCAACACAGTACCGAGCGCATTTGCCGGGCCAAGCACGTGGCCCATCGTTCTCTTTTTTGTTTTTATCTGACTGTTTTGTGTTGCAACGGTAATCCAAAATTTTGACGGAACGACAGTCATGTGGCTACTACTATAAGCCATGTTTTGATATAAGGGCTAATTGCTAGCTAGCTAAATATTAATTAATTGCTAGCTAGCTAAATATTAATTAAAATTAGAGCTAGTGCATCCAATCAGGATTTATAGGTGAACTAATTTTTTAAACAAGTCTTCAACTAGTTGTTAGCCAACCATAGCTAATTTAAGCTCCAATTAGTAACTAGTCATATGTATCAAGCAGCCCATAAGTCTTATGCCCGTGTGTATGTGTCTGGTCCAGGTTTTTTGAGGAGGTTATACCCTATTATCCTACGTCCAGTGTACATAGCTATATTGTTTCTGCGCTGTATGTGACAAGAGTATTGGAGGCACCAATCAAAGGCCCTCCACTGCATCTTATATATTCCAGGGTGTAGGGTTATATATAAGGTCTGCTCAATTTATAGACTTCATGTCGTTTCTTGAGGTGTTAGTCGCTTAATATTCATGTTGTCTTCGTCTGAATCCATCCTTGCATTCATTGAACTAAATACCTTTTGTACTAGCATACATCATTAGTCCAAATAATTATAGTGTCATATACAATCACCAAAATCATATATCACTCTACCTAGATCACGGACGGAGCACAGTGGGGGCCAAACTGGGCTCCGGCCCCCCCTTGTCCAAAACAAAATTCTCAAATATAGTTTGTGGTCACTTACATTTTGTGAAATGTGGTCCAACTATAAATATATATAACTAGTTAGTTTTAGTCCATAATTTGATTAAGAGTAGTCTGACAGTCTCTGTAGTCACTTGATATATGATTAGTTAAATTTATCACTTGATATATGGTTTTATTTCTGATGTCAACATATTTCACTTGTGTTTTTATCAAGTTGGCCCCCCCTTGATTTTGTGCCGTGCTCCGTCGCTAACCTAGATGCCATTTTCCTTACACCAGACATAATATTTTAAGAGTTTAGGGCATCAACGACACCCCAAACAGATTTAGAGACCTAAAAATGCATTCTAAGAATTTGAGAACTAAATACCTTATATACTAGACATTTTTTGCTTTTTTTAAAAGAGGAATCCATAAGTTCCATTAACCAAGTGACACGGCCGAATCGCTGGTGACCGTAAACAGAATACAATCGGGAGTGTGGATTGTCACAATATCAGAACTACTAGCTTGGGAAGTACGACCAAGCACAGCCATCTTGTGTGGTACACGATTACACTCCCTTGGGAAATGATTCACAGAGGCAGAAATGAATGCATGATGAAGCCATAAAGGTTCGAAGACGAGTCCCCCCATGACTGAAAGCCCATGTATGAATTCAGCAAAGTGTTTGTCACTAGCATGGCATCTGTCTCAAAAATGATACGGCCAATCCCTCTTGCTTCTGCTGCTCACTCCTTGCAGACATGCTAGGATTTCAGCAGAGCATGGTCCAATTTTTGACTCTAAGATAAATAAGCCTGCAGGCTTACTTCATTTCCTTTACCTTCTCACCAATCTTTGCCTCGAAATTGCCTTACCGCAACAAGAGAGAGTAATTGAATTTAGAATGGCCAGATGACGCTGCAGGTGCAGGACTTCTTCTCCCAAGGTGAAATTGCAATAGTACCAGTCTATCACTGATTGCCAAAGTAGTTGAGGAAAACATCACGCTGAGCCAATCAAAGCAGCATACGCCATTAATTTAACTTTGCTCAGTCAAGTCAACCGTGTCACACTTACCAATAGATAGAAAGAGCGTCGAGTACAAGCAACTGACTTTGAGAAGGCAAATCGACAGTGAAGCCCAGCCCAAATGTCAACTACTGCAGTCCTTCCTGTGTGATCAACTACCAATAATTAGTTACTAATTCATAAAAGCATATCAACAAATACACAGTCTAGAAACAACTTGCAACCAAAAAAGAAAAGTTAGGGCATGTATGGTAGAGCTTTATCTGATTCTGATTCTCTATGAAAATTGATTCTCTGAGAGAAGTGATTCTGTAGCTGAAAGTGATTCTCTTTGATTCTTTAACATAAACTCTAAGTCCCCATTTGGTAGAGCTTCCACCAGCTCCAGCTTCTTTGACGCATTGGCTCTGTGAGAGAAGGAGAGAGGAGAGAGAAAAAGAGCTCCATGAACAGTGAATGTGTCAGAGAAGCTGGAGCCGGTAGGAGCTCTGCCAGGGGCCTCAAAACCACGATGGAGAATCACTTCACAGGAGAAGCTACTTTTTTCAGCTCTTAACCTCTTATGTCATTTCATAGAATCACTTCACAGAATCAGCAGAGAATCACTTTTCTCAGAGTTCCTGCTGGATTCAGCAGAGAATCAGCTTTGGGAGCTCTGCCAAACGGGGCCTTAATAGGTTGTCAAATAGAGGACGACAAAGTTTTCAATATCTAGGTCAAAATCAATTCATCATCATTGTTTGTTGTATTATTCAAGTGATTGCTAAGCTCGAAGCAACAGTGTACTGCAACAAACTAAACAGGCTCATTGCAGAAACACTATGGAAAGGGGCTACCGAAACAGTCTATATAACTAATAGGAATGAGGGTGCAGTGCAAGTAGATTCCACAAACCTGACAGCTCCCGAAATGGAGATAGCTAACAGAATCGTCCTGCTCCTCTTGTTATTATTACCTGGAATTACTGTTGCACAAAATGCTTCTGGAGGAGGAACACAGGAGGTCCATGTGGGGGTCATCCTTGATTTGGGGTCCTTGGTCGGCAAAATAGCAATCACCAGCATTTCATTGGCTCTAGAGGACTTCTATGCTGCCCACCAAAACTATAGCACAAAGCTTGTTCTCCACATCAGGGATTCCAAGAGTGATGATGTCCAGGCTGCATCTCGAGGTAGATGTCTGAAACCTTGCTGTGTGTCCATTGCATTTACTGGCTATTTTTGTGCTGCTGAATGATAGGATCCACACACTATTGCTCAACTATACACAGTTGTTTTATTTGAAAACATAACTTGAGCATATTCATTCAGTATGGCTAAGTAGGAACAGAAGAGCAAGCACGCAAAGGAGAATGAGGCACTAACAGTGTTTGCATAACAATAGAAACTTGATGTAAAAGGAACAATACACATAAAGAAAAACAAAACATGGAGAACTTGGCCATTACATGTGGAGAGAAGCAATCTTCATTAGTGACAATGTGCACTTCTCAACAAATAGACCAGGAAGCAATTTGCATCATATAAGAAAATGGCCACGTCATACCTAGTTGTTCCTGATAAGATGTGAGAGGCCAATTTCCTACAAGCTCTTTACCATTGGGATTGCATCAGGACAAAATGGGCAAGTTTTGTCGCCTTTTTTATTGAGTATAATGTTACAAATCCAATTGAGAAGGTGTTCAACGCTACCTTATTTCCTTCTGTTTCTCAGAACCGGTTAATGATGTGCATACTGCTAGATGTGATTCCTAATATGATATATTTGAAGTAATTAATTAACTAACAAATAACAGAGCTAGGATTAGTTAAAATAGTATTTACCAGATGTGCCTAGGGAAAAAAAGGTCAAAAACTGCAGAAAATAGACAAACTGTGAAAACACACAGATTATGCAAGCTGCGGTATCAACACTGTTTTGGTTGTTTGGACTAAAGACAAAAATCAACTGTAAATATCCACGTTTAAGTTTACAAGCACTTACAATATATTGTTATCTAGAAATGGGATGTGGATTTTTATATTTTTAGGACAATATATCCCGTAGTGAGGTCACAGATACAGTGAAAAAAATTCATTCTGTGAATCAAAAAGTCAAAAAGCCATCGAGAGGCCACATCTTTTATTCAACACATAGGAGGGCTATGTATCTTTATATTACGAAGAAGGAAATAACCCTTGCAGGAACGACCCCCCCCAAAAAAAAAACAACAACTCACATACACAAATGTAAAACACACGCTTTTGTTAAAAGATAGGAACGACCTCGACCGAGAGAGAATATAATCCACATTCCACACCATGCAACGGGGCAGCTAGATAAGATATGCCCTTGGCCCTAGTTAAACCCCAAAGCCTCATTTCCTTCGTGGCATAGCGTGAGTCCCCTCACATCAGGTGGCCCACCAAAGAAACAATGATTATGGTGGTCCAAAGGGGTCAAGCTCGAGTTAAGACCTTTCTTGACTTGGCCATAAATGGCATTAGCTAGACCACCAATTCTCAAAGGAGGCTTCACCTGGCTGAGGAGAAAGGTTCTGTAGCCCAAACTTTGAATCAGTCAATATGTAGCAAGATATGGGGAGCATAAACTACCCTAAGTTTGAAACGGTAGAAATAGTGGCGACTGATGAGTAAACTTTAGTTACTTATTTGTATCTTCTGAAGTTTGCTTTAAGTGGCCTTTTTTCTGCAAACATCCTATTCCGACACTGCAAGTGCATCAGTAACTTTCAGCATGTTGCAGTTCAGGAACTTCTGTCTTATGATTTTGTTTCACTTGTGCCATCCTTGCAACAAGGATTGTCTTCAACTGCAAGTATTTGAGGGGATCTTTTGTGTAAATACTATATTTTCATTTATAAAGATGATCATCTACCAAAGTACGTCTTTGTATGCTGTTCTGCAGCTCTTGACCTGTTGGAGAATTACAATGTAGAAATTATCATTGGTCCTGAGAAATCTTCACAAGCTATATTTATCTCAGAACTCGGAACTAAAAGTCATGTTCCAGTCATCTCCTTCACTGCAACAAGCCCAACTCTATCCACTAGCAGTCTTCCGTATTTTGTCAGAGCAACACTAAATGACTCATCACAAGTGAGCTGCATTGCCTCAATAATTAAGGCCTATGGATGGAGAAAGGTCGTCCCAATCTATGAAGACATTGAATATGGTACAGGTATCATACCTTACCTTGTGGATGTCCTCCAAGAAGTTAATGTGCAGGTTCCCTACCGCAGTGTGATTCCTCCATCAGCAACTAGTGAACAAATTACCGAAGAATTATATAAGCTGATGACAATGCAAACAAGGGTCTACATTGTGCACATGTCCTCAATGTTGGCCTCCACCCTCTTCTTAAAAGCTAAAGAAATAGGAATGATGGAAAAAGGGTATGTATGGATCATAACTGGTGGAGTAACTAATCTCATTGATTCTCTGCATCCTTCTGTTGTGGAATCAATGAATGGTGCCTTGGGTGTCCACTTTTATGTTCCCAAATCAATGGAACTGAATAACTTCACTACAAGGTGGAATATGAGGTACCGAATTGACAACCCGACTGATGCACCATCAAAATTAAGCATCTTTGGACTGTGGAGCTATGATACAATCTGGGCAGTAGCACAAGCTGCAAAAAAGGTAGACTTGTCAATGCCACATTTCGGAAACCAATATCCAAACAAAAAACAACAGACTTGGAAACCTTGGAAACATCTAGTAATGGTCCAGAACTCTTGAAGGAAATCTTGCAGAGTAAATTTATAGGTTTGCGTGGCATGTTTGACCTTTTAGACAGGCAGCTGGTTGTTTCAGCATTTCAAATACTACAACAACAACAACAACATAGCCTTTCAGTCCCAAGCAAGTTGGGGTAGCACCAATTGAAGAAAAGCTTGTCCAACATCGGTTGAGGTGGTTTGGCCATGTCCAAAGGAGACCTTCAGAGGCACCAGTGCATTGTGGAGTCCTAAGCCAAGCTAATAATATGAGGAGAGGTATAGGAAGACCGAAATTGACATGGGGGGAGACAATAAAAAGAGATTTGAAAGCTTAGGATATACCTAGAGATCTATGTTTGAATAGGAGTACTTGGAAAAGTAGCTATTGAAGTGCCTGAACCAATCTCAAACCCAGATCTGAACCCTGTGATCTGGCCAGGAGAATCCACAGACATACCTAAAGGCTTTGAGGTTCCTGCAAGTGGGAAGAAGCTTCAAGTTGGTGTACGCCCAAGTGGATATCAACAATTTATAAATGTTGAGAAGGATCAAATAACAGGTGCAACTAAAGCAACTTGCCTTTCAGTTGATGTGTTTGAAGAGGCAGTAAAGATACTCCCATATGCAGTGCCTTTTGAGTATGTGTTATTTGGCTCTCCGGAGGATACAAGTAGCAGAAGCTATGATGATTTTGTTTACCAAGTTCATCTTAAGGTAAAAATAAGTTTAGGACCTGTATATTTCCTACTTGACTTTCTTTAGTAAGTAGTAGAGCCTCGAGACACCAGCCAAACTTGCACATGGTTTACGACAAACCAATGTAGGTAACTCTAAATTCCTAATATCCTTCAGTATAGTACAGTACGAACACTTTTCGCCTGCTTGTTTTTTTCATAGTAAAAGTTCATGTACACTGATCGCATCCTCAATATTTCTTTTTGTCATAACAGAGAATATTAACATGTTATGTAGTTCTCCAGGATTAATTTACATTAGTTGCATAATATCAGTTGCATGATAATAAACTGTACATCGTAGAACCCAATGGAAAAGCCTGATTTCATAGAACATATGCCGCAACTATCTACTGAGTGGTAATCCCAATTATCCATCCATATTATTATTTTACTATCAATTAAAAACCATTATACTAAGGTAAATATTTATTATTCTTTTCATTCCATACAGATATACGATATAGTGATTGGAGATATAACAATCAGATATAACAGAACTTTCTACGCTGACTTTACTGTGCCATACACGGAATCAGGGATAGCAATGGTGGTTCCTGTCAGGGACAGCATAAACAAGAACACATGGATTTTCTTGAAGCCACTAACACCTGGCATGTGGTTTGGGAGCATTGCGTTCTTTATCTACACTGGTGGTGTTATCATTGGAGTTTCTAGGCAACAATCAGAATGTTCGTGGGCCAATTCCCAGACAGCTCGGGATTCTAATCTTTTTCTCCCTATTTGAAGAGAGTTGAGTACACTCATCACATTGGTTTTACCCTCCAAAACGCATAAAATACAGAATTTAGTATAGAGCTGAGAAATCTACATGGGAGTAAGAATTTATAGATTGCAATCAGATAAGAGAAAGGCTATATGAAAGCAGATCTCTTGTATGTTGCTAGACATGACACAATGCTAATCAGTTTCTTCTAACTGTAATATTACTACTAACTTTTTCACAATGATTCTAAAAAGGAATTCTTTAGCCAAAATCATCATGTTTTTACAGGAGTGATACCCACATGACTCGCAATACTCACCTTGTTATACTGCAATTTGAGTGTCTATTAACTGCAATCTATCTAGTAGCAAGATCACCGCATATGTTCAGCATATCTTGTTCCACCTTGCTATGTTTTAAATATGGATCTAACTGTAGTAAATGAAATTTCACAACATAATGGAACTCTCTCTAAGCTATTATTGAGACCTGGATCCAGGGGTAAGGAAGCATGTAGTTAGGTGACTTATTATGAAGTTAGAGACTTAGGGTACACATTAACCTTAGTAGTTAGCCTAGCCATATAAGTAATATTTTTTTTTGAAACAAAGCCATATAAGTAACAATATAGCTATTATTTCTTAATCTTAAATAAAGAAAATATATGTTCCAATTTCTAATTTGCTAAATGGCCCTGCAGTACCTACTGTAAGTTTATAAGTCATCATATCACAGCAAGTATAATTAGAAACTGACAACAGACAAGACTTTTTTTGCTACAATTATCAAATAATTGACATATATTATCTGATTTATCATAAAGGCAACAAATTCAACATTATTCATATTGATGAGCATATAAAATGGCTCCCACAAAAAAGAAATATGATGGCTAATAAATGCAGTAACTTTGTCCTTTCTGTAGTAAAATAATATCCAGTGAGCCAAAATAAAAAGGGTAGAGGATGCAAAATTGTTATCCTACACTATACCAAGTAATATTTATGCGAGTCAACAGTTATGTAACTAAAAAGGTTAACAAAATAATTTCTGTGATGTGTAAATTACAGCTATCAAGTTGGATTTGAGATGTCTAAAACATTAACTCAGTTATCATAGTTTTTGCAGAAGAGATTGTGGAACGCTTTTTATCTCGGATAGTGCTGATTGTGTGGCTGTGTTTTCTTCTGGTACTTACATCAAGTTACACTGCAAACTTGTCATCAATGTTGACTGTACAACAGCTTCAGCCTACCGTGAATGATATCCAAGAACTCCTAAAAAGTGGAGAAAATGTAGGATACCATCGTGGCTCGTATGTCAAGGGACTTTTGGAAGAACTTGGTTTTGAAAGATCCAAGATCAAGCCCTATGATACACCTGACGATTTTCACAATGCACTTTCAACAGGAAGCAGTAATGGTGGTATTGCTGCTCTCGTGCATGAAGTTCCTTACATTAAACTGTTCCTTGCAAACCACTGCAAAGGTTACACTATGGTCGGACCGATTTATAAGGCTGCAGGTTTTGGATATGTAAGTTGAATTGCATCTAATCTGGTTCTTCTGCACTAGTACATTCCTAGAGATAAAATGAACGAGTTCATCAGTTTGTTTGTTAGTATGAGAAAAAAAGGAATCTCAGATAGCATTCACATGAAAGACAACATCCTATAGTTATTTTCGCCTTATATGGCCAATTCAATAGTTGTGCCTTGTAGAAATGTCAAGATCTAGGTGTCAGAAAATTTGAAGTATTAATTAACCGTCATGGCATATAAGAATTTTTAAAGTACTAATTAATCATCTTGCATATAAGATAAAAATGAATCATTGTTGCCATTGTTACATATGAATCATCAAAACGGCTATGCTGTTTGTCCAGGCACTTGCAAAGGGAAATCCCCTACTCAGCGACATCTCAAAGGCAATCCTAAATGTAACAGGGGGAGATACCATACTTCAAATCGAGAAAAAATGGATGGGATATCAAAATGACGGCCAAAATGTGGGTCCCATCACAGGTTCAAGCAGCCTCACTTTTGCCAACTTTAGGGGACTGTTGATCCTAACTGGAGCTGCTTCAACTTCTTCTCTTTTGATAGCATTGGTAATTTATGCCTACAAAAAGCAGCACCGGTCAACAGTAGTCATGGAAGTTGATAAAACGCAGGTAGAAGAGAACAGAGCAAATGAAGATAAGGATGAGCCTCAAGAAGGAAACCAAGGAGTGGTACCTGAGGAACATGTCCAGTTTAGAGGAGACAGAGAAGAAAACGGCCAGCTGCATGAGCAAACTGGTTCAGAAAAGGTGTGACAGAAATCCTCACACATGCACAGATGCGTGCAATGGTTCAGTTGCCTCTCACAGGGGTGAACCAATCACCGTTCTCCAAGCAGAATCCATCTGAAGTTGAGCTTTTTTTTTTTCTACTAGCTTACAATGATCTCAGTCCCAAAAGTCTTTTTTTTTTTGCGTTAATCTCAGTCCCAAAAGTCAATGAGCTCAACAAAGGCTCTTGTTACCCTTAAACTTGCAAGCGAATAAACTTGTATTATGCAGGAGTACTTTTTGACACTTGAACCATCTGATAACTGAAAAATGCCCAAGCAGAAACTGAATCCTCTGTTGAGGCATTCGATCGAACATCTGCTCAGCATCAACTACAGACGAGTGCACCATGCTCTATCCGCACCAATCCAGTAACACCTCGAGCTCTTAACCCACGGCCACGTACGTTCCAGCACCATGGGTAGTTACCGCTTCAGGCAGGTGCCTTGGACACGAGTGTAGGTTCGTGACCACCCTGGATACAAATGCCAGCGCCCACGGGCGTTTCGGACTGGTAAGTTGCGATTGCGAGGAAGACGATGGATTTTTTTTTTTTTAGCAACGGAAGACGATGGATGAGACGAACAACAGCACAAACTAACGCATGTTCCTAGGCTCCTGTCCATTACAGCAGGGCCTAGAACATGGGCCACGTTACTACCGGTGCACGTATATCAATCCAGCAGCATTCTAACGTATATAAACTATAAAGGCTGAGTACTAAACACCCTTCAACTGTTGAAACAGCACGGGCGTTTAATATATTTAAACGGCGTTTAACATAGTAAACGAATGTCACATGTTTTATTTAGACCTTAAATGGTGAATTAAACAGTTGAAGTTTAAACCGTTAAAAGTTAAATGTGATTAAATAGGAGGATTACAACTACTGCATTGCACCAGCTAATTAACATCGTAAGTATATAAGATGGAGTGAGATTTAGTTTTATTCCAAAAATATTTGATACAATACTTATTTTGTGGTGCAAGCGGTGAGAGTCTTCCGCACCATGACGGAAGGTCTCGGGTTCGAAGTCATGGTCTCCTCGCATTGTGCAAAGCGAGGTAAGGTTTACATCGACACTCTTCCCAGATCCATGCAGGCGGAGCTCTCTCTACTGACCCAGTATGCTGCCCTTACAATACTTATTTTGTAGCTTATTTAATTTTTTTGGCTACACAAATATGTATGTCTTAGTATTAATATACAAAATTGTTTAATCATTTAACTCTGTTTGAACACCGTTCTAAATGACCTAAACGCTAAATTCGACTTTTTAGCGTTTAGGATAACACTAAGTTGAAATCAAATAAATGTGGTGTTCTACTTTCTAAAATGATTAAAAAATTGTTTAATATCTAAAATTCATAACTAATTTATTTTAAATTGAAAAATTACAAAACTAGTACCAGTTTCTTCCTAAAAGTGTTTGATGCTCTGTTTAGAGTTATTTGGGTCTTATGAAGTTATGTTCCTATTGTTTATTGCTTATAGTCATGCATACTATTTATTTAAATTATCGTTTTGCATCTACTTTATGTTGATTACTTGTTTGGGGCACTGCCTAGTTTTAAACCTATAACCTAATCAGGAAATCAACATAAAGTAAATTACTACTCATGCAATGCCTAAATATGATCTATACATATCTATGAGGTTGGTATCACCTTTTCTCATCTTTTTTCTATGTATAACTTATAGCCTGCCAGATCATCCTGCACGAGTGGAACATCAAGAAATCAGGGCAAGTTTGTTTACGACTCCTGTGCAAAACTGGGGGAAAACATTCTACGTTCCAAATCCAATTCAGATACCAGACACCACCACATTCAAATTCATCGGCATCACTACTGACATCCTACACCACACTGCACTCCTGCAAACGATAACAAAACGCAGCGAGATCGAGTGGCCATGGCCGTGCTACAAAACGCTGCTGCCAAGTTTGTCCCTCCACGCCAAATAACCATGCCGTTTCTGGACGACGTCCGGAAGAAGGGCGGCGTCCTCGACGACAATGTTGGAGCCTTGATCGATTCTGTACGATACATCGATGCCTTCAAGATGTAGGTGGTAAACCACACCGCAGTGACCTGTGTCCCTGTGGTCATCATCAGTGTCTTCGCCACAGTGGTCATTGGCATCAGCTTCCATGCTCACTTGATGGGGATGGGTCCGCTGTGAGATCGATCTGATGTCCCAGGAAAGGACCTGCTTGATAAGATCCTGAAACTCGTCTGCTGAAGCATAGAGCGACTGCTGCTGCTGAAACAAATAAACAGATTTTGAATTGTAAGCCCAAATTCTTATTTACAGTTGGCCTAGTGTGATCCCTTATCATATGAAAAAAAAGAACTGAAATTTAATTGCTATTCAGCATATAAGATTTCTTTTTTACAGACAAAACATCAATACCACTTACTATATGCGTCCAGCAAGTGGGAAGCGCAGAAATGAAATGTTCAGAAAAATGGACAGACTCCACGGCTAATGCACCATCAACCTGCTTCAACAAAATTCTCAAAGATTACTAGGTGATGAACAATGAAGGTACTCGATTGTAGCATTGGCATAAAATATAGCAATATGAGATCTTGCACACGAGCTGTGAATCAACAATTCCTGAATGGAACATAAACTTTTCTTTCAATACCCAAATCTTACTCTCAAGTATCATTCAATAACCCCC